TTGTTCTGTTGTAGATAGATTTGTTTTTTTCTTTTGGGTTGGTTAAATGTGTTTTTTTAATAAACTCATTTGCCAAAAATATAATATTATATAGTCAAATTTGTTCAAAAATAAACATTTCCTAATAATTGATATTTCATTCTTCTTTCTTTTGTAAGTAAAATTTACATTCATCAATCTAAACATTACTTAATAATTAATTAGATTTTTTTTTATTACCGTAGCCTCCCGAATATAAGATATATATATATATCTAAAGAAACAAAGGTCGCCTCTCCCGTCAAAATAGACTTCAAAACTAGACGCCATCTATTGACCGTCGCCGCAACTAGCGGCCTCGGGTCGGTGACAAAGCCACAACACCAGCTTTGGCAAACTGAAAAGCGTCCACCTAGAGACCATGGTTTCGGGCTAATGGCCCTTGTCAGTCTAGGGCGGACTTTATTCCATGAGATCCAGACCGGATCTAATGGAATCTTGACAATCTGCCAAAGAGGTGTTTAGCTGGCAAAGTGGCTGGGCCAAATAGATGGCGTCTAGTTTTGACGTCTATTTTGACGGGAGAGGCGACTTTTGTATCTTTAGATAAATATCCTCCCGGCAAAATTTTTCCATTTATATATATATTATACAGATTAAACTAAGTCTTGAGATAAATTTATATTTATTTTTATATGTTGTCAGTATAGCTAGCTATTACCGAACGAAAATTAACAGTAATATCTCTTAATTATATTCTTTATCCACTTTCCTTTTAACTTTTCTTTTTTCCTTCTTGATATATTTTATTTCATATATATATGTTATAAATGAGATTTTCTGAAGATTCTGTTTGTTTTGAGGATTAAGTTATGGTGATGCAGTCGTGGTCAAAATCTTGAAACCATAATAATAAAATGGTTTTGATCAGTATTGCTTTAATTGATCTTAGGGAATATATACTAAACATAATTTGAGAAAGGTAATGCCTGGCTTAAGGCGTAAGAAACTAAAAAAATGAAAAACTTATTTACATAATCTACAAAAGATTTGAGCCGGCCATCGGGAAACAACAACAATGAGTTTTATATTTTGTATTTAGTATTTGCATCTATGAAATATAATTTTTTTTTAAATAAAATAATATTTTAATATAACGTATATATGTAATATAATAGATATAATATTACTATATATATTATATGCGCGTAATATTCAAAATAATTTCTCAAAAATAAATATATTTGATATCTAAATTATACATTATACCTATATACATATATCCCATTAAATAAACACAATCAATGGATAATTTAAATATATAATATAGTAAAATCATATTTGAAGAAATATTTTAGGAAATAATATAATCCGAAAAAGAATTTATAATATAAAATTGCATATTATATTATTTTTATATAGGATTAGGGAAAAACGTTAGGGATAAAAGATAAGAAAGGAGAATCAGAGAATAAATAATAAAAATTCCGGACCAAGGACCATTATAGAAAATGAGCAACAGATACAATAATAAGAGACCGTGATTGGAGGAACATCTTCAATTATTGCTTTTTTAGTTTTTTTCGCAGACTATGTGATTATATGATTATACGTAACGAGCTCCTTGGGCTGAAAGGAATATTCTGCAATATTGGTATTCACCCCCCCTTCAACAAAATATTGCTTTTTGTGCAAATAGGCTTCTCGTGTGCTTGTTATATGTAAAGTTTATGTAACATTATTACATTTTTATAATATATATATACATATAGATAATAAAAAATGCATATATTGGATTGAATAAAATGTTTATTTTTTTCGGTTGGCTGAACGCCAACCTTTGTCAAGGCATTACATTTTTGTATAAAACCATTACGTATATATGTATATATAAAACCTTTATTATAATATTATGTAACTTCTATATACAATTTTATTCAATCCAACATATCCTTTTTTTATTATTTAAATATTTAAATATGGATTCCTACATATTCAGAACAAACACATATATACATACATACTTAATTTTAAAATACTTTTTGAATATATTTACTTATCAAGTAGTTTTTATTCTGAATTACTTGAAGCAAATTACACATAAAATTATTTGTCACAGTAATATAGAATTTATAAAATGAATCCTATATTCGTGAATTAAAAAAAAATAGGTAGGTCAACTATACATATTTACAACAATTATCAAAGTGTTATGTTCTAAATCTACGGTAAAAAAATGTAGAACAGTCAATGATGAAAATAAATTACATGTTTTAAAAAAATAAAATATTTGCATTTTAGATTATATAATATAAATATATACACGTATATATATATATATTTCTTTTTTCTTTTTTTTTTCACATTAAAAGCGTTTTTAGGTAAACTTGGCCTTCAAAAAAACCAATTTCTTTATTTTTAGGAAGCCTCAAGGACCAAATCTTTAATCGTAAAGGTACAATCTGCACCAGGCTGAGGAGGGCTAACAGCCCGAATCGCATACGTGGTTTACCTTTCTTTATTTATCAATAAATTTGGTTGACAAATATTTTTGTAACAAGCTAAATTAACTTTTAGTTGATTTTTGTTGTACTAGATGGAGCTCTGCCATTTAAAATGCTCATGTGAGAGGTTAAGAAATTCCAATTTTGTTTCTAATATATTTTAATATATGAAAAAATAGAGTGTGCAAAAGTGAAATTGTACTGGGATTAGGTAGATAAATTTTAAAAAGGCATCTCTTGATTGTGCAACTTTAATTTTCCGATGGTTTGCGCCATTTGTAAGAATAAACGATTAGGACCAACAGCCCGAAAGGCGTACGTTATTAGATTTTCTTGATTAATCAAAAATAGGTATTTGACCCATTCTTGAATATTTAACTTTTTAAAAAATATATATATATATATTTATTCAGCACATTCATATTGGATCTAAATTAATTATTTATTTAACCAATATTTCTAGAGGCAATTAAACCTCTCTTTATCGAGTTTTTTCGGTGATTCAAACTATATCACGTGACAGGTGGGTAACTCTCTATAAAAGACCAAAGTAAGAAGTGAGCTGAAGAAAATTTCGCTATATACATCAAATATATATATACAATTCTAATTGTTGTATTAATAACATATTTGTGTTATAATACAAATAGAATAATAAATAAAACCTAAAATTCAAAAAAGCAATGATGATTATGATATAAATGAAAAATATCGTTACCCTTTTCAATTTCTATTCGTACCAGTATATAAGATTTGTATAAATAATTTTATAAGAGTGTATATAAAATAAAATAAATTAAAATAAAAATTAGTACCACAATTAATTGATTGATGGCGCTGCAAATATTTGATAAAAATAATTATAATGAAGTTGGTTGTTAGAGGGAACTCACCAATCCAATATATTCCTTGTATTAATTAACATAACCACTAATTAACTCTCTCTACAGGTACTGGCTCTGATTAACCTTACATAATAACTATTTAATCTGTACCCAGGTCTTAGTCGCTTTGGTTACTTCTCGAAATATATCTGAGTATCACCACAACTAGCTTTTATTCGAAATTAAAATGGTTGTGTTTGCAGTAAACCTATGTATAAAAATGCAAATATATATTGTAATATTTAAGAAGAAATGATGTAAAATATAATAAACTGTATAATAATATATAAAAATGTAATATAATAATGCGCGGCTTGCCGCGAGAGGGGATGAGATCCTTGAAAAAGATGGCCGTTTAGCCCATTGAAATATCGGAAATAAAAATTTTCATTGAATCCAAGATGTGCCCTTTATGAACAAATAATAAACTGTTGAGTCACAGAATTCCAATATTAAATATTAGTTAATTATTAAGTTGAAACTTCTTATGTTTTAAATGAACTACAAATTTTAAGCAAATAAATTTACTGGCGCAATATGTTTACTTTCAATAATATCATAAAATATTATATATATACAGACCCTACTGCAATGATATAAGCTATTGAATGAGAGGTCTATAATTATATGTCAATTTTAAATATGGAAATATGCGCCAGAGAAGTAGCTGACAACTATTGAAGAATTGAATAAGAAATCTATATGCATATAGGTTACCCATATACGCAGAGATATGCAACATGTTGTATTGTCTTCATATATAGTAGGAAGGTCGTTTAATTATTTCGGAAATCCTGGTTTATAAATATTCCGATCGATGGCAGTAACTATCTTTGAAAGATTTATTTGCATAGTGAATGTGATATATCCCTTCAAGCAATAACTTATTTACACCATCCGAGATATTTTCTGGAATATTTGAGATTAATCAGACATTTTAATTTGTTGAAGTATCTCCCAGTTTTAATTAATGCAACGCCTGTATTAATTGATTCCAGTTGTTTACATGATCCACATATTGTACCAGCCCTTATTTGTTTACCATCAATCTCTATACTCCCTCAAGCAGGGAATTATCAGATGTATTCAATTCTTACCATGAAGTGTTAAATTTACACACAGAGATTGAAAATCCTTTATTACAATGTTTATATATGATCGAATATAAATTTAGTTGTTGTTGTTGTCGTGTACAATAAAGAGCCTCAGATGTCTCCATACATCTCTATCACAGCAGCAGAAATGCCCTATATCTTGGGTGTGTAAAGATGCTGCTCTGGGTCCATGTCAATTTTCTGTTGTTGTTGTCGTGTCCAATGAAGAGCCTCAGATGTCTCCATACATCTCTATCACAGCAGCAGCAATGTCCTCTATCTTGGGTGTGTAAAGATGCTGCTCTGGGTCCATGTCAATTTTCTGTTGTTGTTGTCGTGTCCAATAAAGAGCCTCAGATGTCTCCATACATCTCTATCACAGCAGCAGCAATGTCCACTATCTTTGCTCTTCATTGGAAAATGGGTGCCGTGGCCACGTTAGTCAACTTGGAAACGAACCAGAATTTGGTCGAATATTCCAAGGGTCCTGGGAGGACCGCAGGAAGGTGTGGTCGGACTTCTCCCTCCTAAAAAAAAGAGGGCTCGTCCGGGGTTTGAACTCGGGATCTCTTCGCATCCTAAGCGAGAATCATAACCCTAGACCAACGAACCACAATAAATTTAGTGAATAAATATAAATAAATAAGGATATATAGAAATGAATAAATATAAAATAGATTTTACACAAATAAATTTACTGGCAATGCGTTTCTTTTAAATATCATCAAATATTATCTCTACAGACCTTACTGCAATGATATAAGTTATTGAATGAGAGGGCTTGGCTCATCAGTAGTGAACCCTCTCAGCGGTTTTGCCAAATTAATCTCTAGACCGCTCTACTATTGTATTGTATTAGTTTGGAGTATATCCTGTATTTTCTATGAAAGGCAGCTTAGGGGTGTTTAGTGAACTATGGACAATCTAGAGATTAATTTTGCGAAACCGCTGAGAGGGTTTACTACTGATGAAGCCAAGCCCTCTCATTCAATAACTCATATCATTGCAGTAAGGTCTGTAGAGATAATATTTGATGATATTTAAAATAAACGCATTGCCAGTAAATTTATTTGTGTAAAATATTAACGATAGATGGCAATTAAATTTAATAAAATAGATTGTAGCCGCTCCTGTACTGATGAAGATCATGGTCTCAAAAACAATGGTATTCAATTTGCTTTTGTTCGAATTGGTTAATACTGGTATTTTAGTATATTATTTTATCACCAATTCTCTTGAATTGGAAAAAAGAGAAGGAATCTTAGAAAAAAAAAAGAACTGCGATGCTTGCTCTGTGTGTTTTGCTTTGTTGTTTGTTTTTCTCTTTGGACAATTTTCTTTAGTTAATTTATGTAAAATAATGAATTGAACAGGATTGTATATAGCCGAATTGCTGTAATGCAGTGAAATGTATTGACGCAAATATCCCTGAGTTTGGGATATCGCGTTTCATGATGTTAATAAAGTTAATAAAGTTAATGTGCGTAATGATTGTACAGGGATAATAAATAAAATGTATTGGTCAAATACATTTAAAAAAAATAAAAGTTGACCTCCTTTGTTTCACATTCTAATAATGAGAATTCTGCTAAATAATGGTTTCACACTATTCCAAAGTAGAGAAAAAGCTAATTATTTCACGATTCCATTTTACGACCGGATGTTTCGTTACAATGGCAACTGGTTAGTGAGGAATTAAGTAATCGATCAAGGATCAATATATTGAAATCATTACGTCACACCTTCCAGCTTAATTGCCAGGAGCATCCGCGATCGCCTCAGCGCTCCGTGGAAATCCTTTAATGGCCACTTCACTAATGGAACCCTACGTCTTGTTTAGGATTGGAAATCCATGAACTAAAGCTCTTGTTGATCATCCTCAGTTTTTTTAATTTCGTCTCAAATTATTTAAACTTTTTCTTCATTTCGCGAACAGTAATTTTTCAATTTCTTTAATGTCTACTAATTGTTAAGCATGTAGGTACTTTAAGTATTTTTTAATTGAAATTCATTTTTTTTTCGGATTTCTAATCGTTTTTTCGCTAAGTGGTTATGATTTGATTTTATAAGAAAATATTATAAACGAAATTTCTTTAAAAAAGATGATAGCTTGTTAGGTGAAGTGCATATGTTTTGGTGGAAAGATGCTATTTTAATGGCTATTGTGAAATTACCCAACAAAATGGAGATTTATATGGGCATTATAAAAGAGGAAATTTATTAGCATCTTTATATTTACATCTCTCTATATTTACATATCTCTCTATATTTACATATCTATCTATTTTACATATCTATAAAATTTACATACCTCTATATTTACATATCTCTCTATATCTCTGTGTTTACATATCTCTATATTTACATATTGCAAATCTTCGTTTTATTAGTATTATAGTACTCTAGCCAGTAGAGGAGCACCGGCTCGAAAGCATGCATATTTATCACTAATAAAAGATAGGCGTCGTCTGAAAAACCTAATCTCTATTCTACGTCTCCATTTTGATAAACGTTTAGAAATGTAGGTGAAATGAAGAGGCATCTAAAAAGGTGATCTATAAATGGTTTTGTGAAGATATGAAGCTAAGATAATTATATTTTGTGTAGCTGGTTGTTTTATAGTGAAAGGTATTATGTATGTTTATATATTTAGTGTTGATGTACATAGACAGGCCTGGAACTGTACATAGTCACGTGGGTTCGACCTGGGCGTGGCTCGAACACGTGACGCCATCAATCTCTATGACGTCACTATGGTAACGTCAAACTTCGTCTCGCTTACCTGCGTCGTCTTCTTTCTCCTAAATGATTCTTACAACCTCTGTACTTTGTAAGGTTTTAAAATTACAAAATATTCATCATTGTAAGGTACACGCCATTTCCACTCGTTTCAAGGAACCTGAAACATGTGTACTTTCAAATTACTCTCACTGTACTCGCAAGGCACTTACAACCTCTGTACTTTGTAAGGTATTTACAACTTTTGTACTCTTTTTCAGGTCATTTTCACTCGTTTCAAGGAACCTAAAACATTCGTACTTTCAAATTACTCTCACTTTACTCGCAAGGCACTTACAATCTCTGTACTTTGTAAGGTACTTACAACTTTTGTACTCTTTTTCAGGTCATTTTCACTCGTTTCAAGGAACCTAAAACATTCGTACTTTCAAATTACTCTCACTGTACTCGCAAGGCACTTACAACCTCTGTACTTTGTAAGGTACTTACAACTTTTGTACTCTTTTTCAGGTCATTTTCACTCGTTTCAAAGAACCTAAAACATTTGTACTTTCAAATTACTCTCACTTTACTCGCAAGGCACTTACAACCTCTGTACTTTGTAAGGTACTTACAACTTTTGTACTCTTTTTCAGGTCATTTTCACTCGTTTCAAGGAACCTAAAACATTTGTACTTTCAAATTAATCTCATTGTACTCGCAAGGCACTTGCAATCTTTGTACTTTGTGAGGTACTTACAACTTCTGTACTCTTTTTCAGGTCATTTACACTCGTTTCAAGGAACCTAAAACATTCGTACTTTCAAATTACTTTCACTGTACTCGCAAGGCACTTACAATCTCTGTACTTTGTAAGGTACTTACAACTTTTGTACTCTTTTTCAGGTCATTTTCACTCGTTTAAAGGAACCTAAAATATTTGTACTTTCAAATTACTCTCACTGTACTCGCAAGGTACTTACAACCTCTGTACTTTGTAAGGTACTTACAACTTTTGTACTCTTTTTCAGGTCATTTCTACTCGTTTCAAGGAACCTAAAACATTTGTACTTTCAAATTACTCCCACTGTACTCGCAAGACACTTACAACCTCTGTACTTTGTAAGGTACTTACAACTTTTGTACTCTTTTTCAGGTCAATTTCACTCGTTTCAAGGAACCTAAAACATTTGTACTTTCAAATTACTCTCACTGTACTCGCAAGGTGTTTACAACATTTGTACTTCAAGCCACTTACAACCATTCTAATTGCAGGACACAATTGTGTACTTGTATTGAATAAGTAATTAATCTTCGTGTAAGTAGCATAGTAATATTTGAAATTTTGTATTTTGCAGGGATTTCAAGCACTTTTAGACGTTCTTGTTGAATTTTTCGAAGAATTAGAAGTATTCGAAAATATTTCAGGTCCTGATTGTTATTCTTTGAATGCCTTTTTTTGATAGCAATATCAAACAAAACACAACATGATCTCTGATTGTGTACTTGTAGTACTTTCAATATATTTGCAGGGTACATATAACATTTCTACTTTTATAGTACTTCTGCTGTACTCGTAAGATACTTCAAATATTCATACTTTTTCAGAGTGCACATTTATAATAATGGTACTCTTGCAGAACATTTACAACAATTATACTTTCAAGTCACTCACAACATTCATACTTACAGTATTTCACTGTACTTTAAAGACAATATTACTGTACTTTCGAAGAATTTGCAGTGGATATTTGTAATAGAACCTAATCTCTTATTTCGATGGTATTGTTCACTTCTGCTCAAACTAGCATCACCTCAACAACACGGTAGACCATCTCGTAGATGGGGAAGCTACAAGAATATTGGCAAAGCTGGCTGGGATATTTTATTTCTAGATTCCTGAAGGTAAGTGGAGGAGTGAGATAAGCTGTCGATAGCTACGTCCCAGGATCGAATCCCGCGTTGGATACTTTTTCTTAATGCAAAAGATGCTTCACTGGCTCCCCGATTTTAGTAAAAGTCCAACCACACCAGTAAGTGCATGTATCCACACGAGGCTGTGATGCACTTAGAGTATATATCAGTCGCTAACTACTACTTTCTATGAATATCATGACCTCTAAGACGTGTACTAAGGATAATATCCTGAGTTGGATACTTTTTTTAGACAAAAAATGCTTCACTGGCTCCCCGATTCTAGTAAAAGTCCAACCACACCAGTAAGTGCAAGTATCCACACGAGGCTGTGGTGCACTTAGAGTATATATCAGTCGCTACCTACTACTATCTATGAATATCATGACCTCTAAGACGTGTACTAAGGATAATATCCTGTGTTGGGTATTTCTTTCTTTATGCAATAATTGCTTCTCTGGCTCCCCGATTCTAGCAAAAGTTCAATCCCACTAGTGAGTGCAAGTGTCCACACAAGGCTTTGGTGCACTTAGAGTATATATCAGTCGCTAACTACTGCTACTATCTATAAATATCATGACCTCTACGACGTGTACTAAGGATAATATCCTGCGTTGGATACTTTTTCCTTTATGCAATAATAGTTTCTCTGACTCTCCGATTCTATTAAAAGTTCAACACTATCAGTGAGTGCAAGCAACCACTCGAGGCTGTGGTGCACTTAGAGCAAATATCAGTCGCTAACTACTACTTTCTATGAATATCATGGCCTGCACAACGTGTATTAGGGATAATATTTGAGAAATATATTATTTTTATAATCATACTAGCGGATGTACCCGGCTTCGCCCAGGTTTTTCTCGAGGGAATGTTTGTAGTCTAGTAATAAGAAAATATACTACACCTAAAAACTATCAAAGAGAAACCACGGAAGGTGAACAGAAAAATGCTTACAATGGATGTTATGTTTACGATATCAA